AGGGGAGGTCTGCGCCGCCCCGGGACCGGCCTGAGCCACTGGGGGAGCTGCGTCCTTCCGCGCCCCGGGGCGGGAAAGGTGGCCCCGCCGCGGGGGTCTTGGCGGGCGGCTGGGCCCGCGATTCTGGGCCGGGGAGTGGGCCGGCCCGTACCTGGTCTTGAAGTCCCGATTATAAATGTTCCGCAGCCGCTCGCGATCTGTCTCCATGTCCAGTCCCTGAACGACCAGGAAACTCTCGAAGCACTGGCCCGTCTCCCGGAGCTGCCGGCAGCTGAACTTACTGGGCATCGCGGCGGCAGCTGCGGCCCAGGCAGGAGGGTCCGTGGAAATGAAACTGAAAGTCGCCGCCGCAGCTGGAAGTTAGCGACCCTAGGATGAGGGTGCAGCAGGGGAGAAGCCCCCTCACTTTGACCCCTGATCCTGCAGGATCCCTTCTCCCCACCACGCTTCCCACCTCCGTTCTTTTCCTACCTGAGCCTTCCCTTCGATCTCTTCGTCCTATCCCCTCCCCCTCTGCCCATTAACTCTTTCCTCAGGAGTCTGACCCCTCCCTCAGGGCCCTCCCCTTAACCCAAGCTCCCTCCCCTGGCTTCTAGCCAGACTCAGAACGTGGCTACCTCCTGGGGCCCCCTGAACAGTCCAGGAGGACTTCCGAGCCTCGGCTAGGGCTACTCCCACGCCCAACCCCCAGAGCCTGGGGACCTAGTGAAAAGCAGGAGAGCAAAGGGCAGGGACTGGGACCTGGGTCGGCTGCAGCTGGACCGAGGCAGCTCATCCAGCACCTCCCCCAGACTGCCAGGGACATAAACCAGCACGGAAGCGAGCGGCACGCCCCCCTCCCCCATTTTCCCTTCTTGGGCTTTCAGACGCAGGGAGGAAGGCATAAGAGCCAAAGAAGTTTGGGGAAAGAACCAAGTGTCTCTGAGATAAAGGTGTGTACATGTGGGAGGCAGGGACAAGGGGCTCCGCCAGGATGAACAGTCACTACCTTTCTCTGCCGCACAGGCTTCGCTATGTGGAAAGGCTGGTGATCCCTACCCTTGAGCCACATATTAAGGCACTTAATTGCACTCCAGTCTGTAGTGCTCTTAATTGTTACTAGTATATAAGTAAGGGTTGCCCAAGTCATCAAAATACTAGCTTCTTGAGAGCAAAAGACTGATAAGTTAGGCAATAAATGGTTAATAGCTACAGCATCAGTACCAGGAAGGAAAGTAAAAGACGGGCGTGCTTCAGAAGACAGAGACAAACTAAAGGGGGTGGGGCTATCACCACAACCAACAGAAAACAAGCCTCTGCATCTACTTGTCCTCCGGAATAACAAAAACACACACACTAGAATGGGGCAAAAATAATAAAAGTATATAAAAAAATTTTAAACATATATCAGATTTCCAAATGTCTCTCTTAAAAATGAGGCAGCAGGCCCAAAATAGAGTCATCAGTGCCCCAGGACAGCAAACCAAGACTTATATGCAGTTTCGACTCCTCCTAGAAATGTGACCTTTAAAACAAGTCAATGTGAAATTTCCTGATTACCACTAGTGAGGTAATCTGCATGATAAAACCGCTGCCATTTCCTTCCCCCAAAAAACAAGACCTGGCCTGAACCAATTCTTTTCTTTTGCTAATAATTTCTGTGCCCCACCCTCCTCTCTATAAAAACCTTCCATTTTGTACAAGTCCTTGGAGTGCCATTCTATTTGCTGGAGGGGATGTTACCCGATTCACGAATCGTTTAATAAAGTCAATTAGATCTTCAAATTGACTGGCTTGAATTTTGTGTTTTAACATATCAAAGGTAGTGTTGTTCTCCAGATTAATTCCTTGTAGGAGGCCACACACTCAATCTAACCTAGTGTGAGGAATGTCCAGAACTCAGCTCATGCTCCAGCTGGGCTACCCTTTTGCCTTTCCCCAGCTAACAACCAACTAACGCCAGGAATAACAGGCTTTAGCAACAGGAAATGCAAAGGCAGTGCGAACCAAAACTATAGGGTGGGATGGAGAAAGGGGAGGTGGGGGAGGCACATTATGTCTTAGGGTTGATTACGCAAACTAGAGGAAAAAACTAGGAAAGTAGCCAAAGATTTTACTTTTTTTCTTTCCCAATTACACGATGAAGCCTGATATTAGTACAGAGAGTGAACTCCTCAAAGTTGCTTTGTTACTTACCATTTCAAAAAACCTACTTACTATCCATTGAACCCAAACTGAATGTCTGGCTCCATTCTAGTCAGCAAATCTAAGTACACATTATTCTTAGATACATAACCTCCTCTTTCTGGTTAGGCCTATCTCTTGGATGTTCTCAAAACATACACAAACAGCTGTGAAAAGTAAAAACTTGGGTAAAAATGTGATGTTATGTGGCCTTGGTTACAATGGAACCTCACTAAACCAGTTTCATCTGGAAAAATACACTTTACATGGAGTTGTAATTGTTTTTTTCACACATGGCTGTCTAGGTGTCTAGAATGGTCTTCCTTCCCACCTTTCCAGCTCAGGCCTCATTTCCTTGAAGCCTTCCCCATCTGCACTTATAAGAATTTGATTTTAAAGTAAGGTTGATTTTAGTATAGGTCCAAATAGCACTGAAGGCAATCTGAAAGTTAACTTTGGCCAGTGATGGTACTGGAATAAACTTATAGGCTCCCACGATAACTACTATAGAGATTAAAAGCTCTGTATTTTCTTAATTGTCATTACTCCAGTTACTTGGTTTCTACAATTTGGCATTTGAATGTTCTCTAACTTTATTCCAACTAGACTGTACTCCCTAAAGCAAGCAGAAACAGCCACTAAACTGAAATGCTGAAATTGGTTAGTCTACCATAGACCAGAGAGGCTGTGGCTGGTACAGTGGATCCTCATTATTGGCAGATTATGTAAGTGCAAATTCACCTACTCACTAAAATTTCTAACCCCCATATCAATACTCGCAGTACTTTTGCAGTCAATCATGGACATGTGCAGAGGGGCAAAAGAATTTGAGTTGTCCAATGTGCACGTTTCCAGCTGAAGTGGAACAGGTATGTTCTGCCTTCTTGTTTCAGTTCATATTATAAACAAATGTCCTTTTCGTGGTCACATTTTTTGCATTTTTGTGTTTGTTGCTGATTTCACTGCCTAAAACGGCCTATGTACTGCTGTCTAGTGTTCCTAAGCACAAGGCAGCTGTGATGTGCCTTACAGAGAAAATTTTATGTTAGATAAGCTTTATTCAGGCATGAGTTATAGCGCTGTTGACCATGACTTCAATGTTAATGAACAACGTATATTAAATAAGGTGAGTTAAATAGAAACACACATAAAACAAGATTATGTATTGTTCAGTTGACAAAAATGTTGTGACCAGAAGCTCACAGGAACCTTACCCTGTAATTCTCCTTGGAGCAATGTTTCAGTATTTGCTAATTCACTGTTCACTGGCAACTTGACAGAAAATAAAACTACACTGAACAATGAGAATCAACTGTATATATTTTTATACATAACAGAATGCTTTCTGGTACTGATAAATAAATGAAAAGCAACAGGATATACTGGAGTATATGAGGAAGCCATTTGGTGTAAAACTAATTCAGCCAGACCTTGCTTTTCCAAAAGGGCCTGACATGGCCTGTTGAGCATGCAGTGTACATCTGCTTTAAACATTTACTATGTCCCAAAGACGAGAATGATGCCCTTAAAGATAGGGATGTAATGTCCCCCCATATCGGCATTCTTTAAGGATAAGCACCTCTTCCTGGAAACTAAGGATTAATTACCAACCTGCTATGCTCACCTTGTGACCACTGACCTGCTGTGCCAGCTAAGCATCTTGTGACAAGTAGTAAAAGAGATCTTCCCGTCATATGTATGCTTTGTTCCAAGATGGTATATAACCACCCTGTACACCCCACTTCTTTAGCGCCATTCCTTCCTTGGGGAAGGAAGGCCCTGGGCTATAGTCCTCAAACTTTGCTCATAGTAAACTCATTTGATTTATAGATTGACCACGGATTATTTGCATCAACAAAACTTTGAATTTGAGGGGGTGTGAAATTGGTTTCTGCCCTCAGAGGATTTAGATCTACCCTGTCTTTTTATATATACTTGGTCTGTTCAAGGGAGAATTTTAGTTAGTTTATCTTATGAGACCATCCAGGTTTGTTCTAGATTAACCAATCTTCTTTTCTTTCTTTGATTTCCCAAGTAGAAGGTAGCTTGGTAGTTCTATATAAAATTATAAATTCATAAATTGGCATTCAGGTATGTATCATTCTTTTGTGAGTTTGGAGAGAATGTGCCAAAGTTTGCCAAGTATCCTATGAACCTAGATGAGTCCAGCATCAAAGTTCTAGATTATAAAACAGAGAACAGGCACTGAAACTAGGCAACTAAGAGGAGCACAACCACCCACCATCAAATGAAACAAATAGTCTTCAGCAGTATAATTTCAAACCCAAACATATAAGTGAGGCCTCATAGAAAACTCCTTTCCATCTGGCTGGGAAACCTTTGCCCTAGGATACCACAGGCTGATTTCAGCACTGTGATAAAATAAGACACAATTCAAGCAAATATTCTGCTGAAGGAGGTTAAGGAAGTCAGGAAGTCTCTGCAGGACTTGGCGAGGAGGGTTGACTTCCTCTCAATTAATACAAGTAACCAAGGGCTTTAGATGGCCAAGAGATTAAGAGTTTTTACAAAAATTTGTATGGGCTAAGGAAATTGATGGGATAGGCTGGAGGCAGGCTGACGGAGTTAATAAATTAAAGGAAAAGGCAAGAATGTTTGGATCTGTTTGTACTACAAGTACAGAGTGTAGTATAGCTGAATGTGCCTCAAAAAGGTGGGAATTTGAACTGGCCTTGGATGGAGGCGAAGCACTGAAACTCCTCTAGTTCTCTGTTGGGAACCAGGATAAAAGCCTTTCCCACATGTCTGTAGTTAAGTCAGACTTGTATGGAATGAAGGCAGCAGAGTTAAGTCAATGTGAAATATTACCCAAGTTCAGGGTACAGGGATTCTTTCATTTCTACTCCTGCCCAGTGACTACAACCATACTTGGGCCTTGCTTTCTGAATAACAGGTAGAGAAGATAACTATATTTTTCTTTTTGACAGAAATGGAAAACCCAAAACAAAACCTTTGAACCACCAGTAGCCTCTGAGTGAAGAGCAGTATGATCCACTGCTCAAACTAAAAACAAAAAAAAAAAGACCTGTTCTTTGCAAGTCTTTGGATATTTACAGAAGCTGTAATAGTTGAAGGTAGGAACCAATTTCAGAAACCCTGAATATTCTCATCAAATAAGAGCAAATACAGTTCTACATCTTACCTTGAGAACAAGGGCTAAAGGGATGGATCAAAGAGGAGAGACTCAGACAATTTAAGAACAAAACAGGTATATTTCTATTGGACTAACTGATACAGAGGATAGTGTGGTATGGATGGATAGTATGAATGACAAATAATACAAATATATTTTATTTGAAATAAACAAAATGCTTACACAGCTCAACGGATCACTTGGAAACAAACTCTTGCTTGACTGTATTACTGAGCAAAAACAAAGCTTGAAGCACAAACACCCTTCTTTTTTGACATGTATTTGGAGATAGGTGGGAAGACACTACTCGGTTTTTAAAAAACTGACCTTCCCTTAAGGCCTGGTCATAGAAGTGTAAACAATGTAAATGAATC